GTATGAAAGGCCAGCACCTTGTTCTGTTTAAGGGGGCGCGTCACCCCTGCCCTGGGCCCGCCGCAAAGGCTTCTGGGAGGCACCTCCCCCGCGGCGGGGAGGGAAGGCCTGCAGCAGCCAGGGGAGGGGGCAGGGGGCCCCTGCGAACACCCACCTGGGGGTCTCCCCAGCTCCCTCTGGAGGATTTTTGAGCTTCCCCTCCCTGGCGGGCCATGGGCAGAGGCTGTCCTGCTTCCCCTGGGTCCTGTCATGGGTGTCTGCCCCCCAGCCGCCCGGTCACCAGCTCAGGGGTGGTCGTTGGGCTGCCCCCAGCACCGTAGGGAATGTCCCAGGACCACCAGGACCACGCTCTCGGGAACCCAGATGGCTGTGCAGGGTCACGCGTGGGGAGGCGGGTGCCTGGTGGAATCATCTCCTAGCCTCCTGCTGCCCTAAGGAGTGAGGGCTGCTGGCCCAACCTCGGCCCTGCACACTCCTGTCCTTGCAGGGGCAGGCGCACCGGGGACCCTCCTCGCTGGACTTCCTCTGAGCTCTATTCGGAGGGGCTGCGGGGCAGGGGCAGGGGGCGGTCAGGGGATCTTGCCTGTCATGCGGCCCTCAAGGAGAGCGGGTGGCAGAGATCCTGGTGTGTGTGTGGGGGGGTGGGGACGAAATGCCCGCATTGTCCTGGGGTGTGTGGGGGGGCACTGAGGAGAAGGCCAGGGGGCCGGGGGGGCCGGGGGGGCCCGGGGGGCCGGGGGCGCCGGGGCCTCTGCGCAGGGAGGGCTGAGAACATATAGCCATGGGAGGCAGAGCCCAGGGCTCCCCCTGCAGAGCCCGGGCCCAGGCAGGGAGCGCACAGACGTGCGGGGAGAGGCCTGGGGTCTCCCTCCCCCGCCCGCCCCTCCCCCGGCCGGGCCTTGAGCGGGAAGGGAAGCGGGCCGGCCTCTCCTCCCTCACCATAACGTCAGGGCTCCAGCATCCATCCGAGGAGGCCGGGGCCAATCAAAGCCAGATGTGGGGGCAACACAAAAATGCTGATGATTTTGACTAGGAAAAGCCCTATTTACCAAGAAATAATGAAGTGATTTGGGGGATTGTGCTGGGATGACCTCAGTCGGGAAGGAGCAAACGCAGATGCTGGTCTCCCAGTCCCAGGGTCCCGCGGGCCGCAGGGCCTCGCACCGCCGCTGCCGTTCCTTCTGGGCCGAGCCGGTGCAAGGAGGTCCGGCCCCTCCGCCCCCCAGGCTGTGGAGCCCCCCGGGTGGGCAATGGCAGGAAGAGGGGCCTCCCTGCAGTGTGGCTCGGGGTCCGCCATGGAGGGAGTCCCGGCGCGGCGGGGCGGTGGGAAGAGGAGGGCCCCTCTTTGCCCTGAAGGGACTTTGAGTCAGTTGCAAAGATGGGACAGGCACCTGCATGCAGGCGACCAGGGCTCAGCCGGGGGCCCCCGGACGTGTGGGGAGCAGCCCACACTCTACCGGCCGCCCCACAGCTGGGCAAACAAGGGTTCCTGAGGGCGAGGGTGGGGTTGCATGTGAGGGGAGGGGGCCCCAGGTGCAGCCTTCAGGGAAGGAGCCATACGGGACCTGGGGTCCCCGGGGCTGAACCCCCTCCCAGTGCCAGTCTCGCTGGAGGGGAGGCTCCCCGCCCCCACGCCCCCGGCTCCTGCCCGACCCTGAAGAGCCCCTCTCCCGGGCACTCGCCCTGTTCAGGCCTCACTGGTGGGCTCAGCCGTGCACGTGGCCCATCTCTGCAGCCTCCACGGATGTTTAGGGACAATCCTTCCACCGTGGCCAGGCTGCCCCCGGCTTGCCTGGAACACTCCGGGGAAAGCACCCAGTCCTCCCCCCCGCCTTGGGCAACGCAGACACGTGTGCCCCCAAAATCGCAGACCCAGCGGAGGAAGCAACCCCAGTGTTTGCCACAGAGCGTGGATTCGCCCACGTGGACACACACCGCGCGGAGCATGACGCGGCCTTCCAAGGCACATCCTGAGACGTGCCACAGCACGGACAAACCCGGGGGCCCCGAGCGGACCACCGCGCCCGCCTGGGGCAGGCGAGCCCCCGGAGAGACGGAAAGCAGAGCTGCGGCTAGCAGGGGCAAGCGGGGGGGGGCGGGGGGGTGAGGAGGGCCGGCCAGAGGGCACAGGGCGGCTTTCTGGACAACACAAACATGTTTTGAAAGGGATCACAGGATAGAGGCAGGGCTCTGCGAGTGTACTGACACCTCACGACATACTTGCAGCGGGTGGGTGGCGGGGTATGTGAACTATGTCTCCATAAAGCCGTCTGAAGATAGGAGAGGACGTGCGTGCCCTGCCCTGTGAGCCGGGAGGGAGGCCCCGGGTCAGGCGAGAGCGGGGGGCCGGGGGCCGGCAGCTCACCACCCAGCTCCCTGCTCCCGGGGTGGGACATGGGGCCATCACGTCTGGCTCGGCGGGCTCACTGGGGTTGGCCGTTCCCCAGTTATGTTCCTGCACAAACTAGCAGAATTTAGGGTCACATGAAAGCCAGGAAGCGGGGGGAGCACGGTCACTCCAGAGGTGCCTTCCAGGAGGCCCCGGAGGGGTGGGTGGGGGATGGGAGGAAGTGCGGCGTCCCTGGGCCTGGGTCCCGGGCTGGGAGGGGCTGGGGCCCATGGGAAGGGGGCTCTTGGGGAGGTGGTGCACACGGGGGCCAGAAGGCAGGGAGGCCCACCCCCCGACGTGGGGCTCTGGGCTGCGGAAGCTGTGTGGGCACTTTCCCGGCAGAGGGCCCCGCGGCCTGGCGGATGGGTGGGGTGGGGGCCCCTGCCCCAGCTCCCCGCTGTTATCTGCAGTCAGAGACTTAAGCCATGTCTTAGGAGCTGGGGAGACAGCCCTGGGGACGACTCGTCGGCCCTAGAAGAGGAAAACCAGCCGCTGACGGACTGTGGCCAGATGGGTTTCCGCTCCCTCCTGGCGGCCCCAGGCGACTGGGCCTCACCTGGAGCTGCTGGGGGGGGCCTGGGATGCGTCCCTGGGGGCCTGGGGCCCGCCGCTGCAGCTATAACTCATCAGCACAGACCAGGAACTGAGCAGAGCACGCGGCAGTCCCCAGGGCCCTTCCCGGCCCCAGCCCCAGCCCCCTCAGCCCTGCCCTGCTGGCCTCTGCTTGCTGTAACCTGGCGTCCCCCGGTCTCTCATTCCCTCTTGCAAAGTAAACAGACCTCCCACATGGCGACACACGAACATCCCAGAAGATGGGGGGCTCGCAGGGGGTGGGGAAGCACTGGGGGCTCTCACTCCCTCCCTCTGTCCGTGGACTATCCCCACGACCTGGTGCCCTGCGGGGTCCCTGCAGGACCATCCCCATGGGAAGGGACGCCCAGCCCCGTGTGAGCTGTCCGGCCAAGGGGGGCCCGTTGGTGTTTGTTCGTGGTGTGGGAGACCCCCTCTGGCCCCCATGCAGAGATCTGGAGTTCGTCTCCCGCTGTGCACGACAAGGGGACACTGAGTCACGGCCAGGACAACAGTGGGGCCGTTGTCTTAGGAGCAGAGACGGAGCAGGCCCTCTCCCTCCTCAGCCTCCAGCCAGGGAGCAGCTCGGAGGGGAAGGGGTGTCCAGCCGGCTCCTCCTTGAGGCTCTGAGCCTGGGGTTGGGGTAGAGCAGCCCCCCAGCTGCAGGCCCACTTCCTGGATTCCTGAGGACCTGCAAGGCAACCCCCACAGCTGTCCTCCCCTCCACCCTCATTCCTCTGGGCCCCGGGTGGGGAGGGGGCTCTGCCGGCCCTGGGGGTGCAGGGGAGACCAAGGACATGGCTGCTCTCTGGCCCCTTCCTCCTCCCCTGGCAGAAAGATGACCGTGCCTCTGGGGGTGGGGGAGGTGGGGGGACACGGGGGTCTCGGGGAGGCCAGCCGGCAGAGGCACTGGGCTGCGTCTGGGGCGTGCGTGGCAGCCCGCGCTGGACGTGCTTGGATGAAGGATGGGATTGCTCTCCCAGCCTTGAGTTGGGGTCCTCAGGGCCGCGGGGCCCCATGAATTATTTCTCTAAGGAGAATACCATTGACTCTGCTCTCCGGTCGCCTTCCGGACCTTCCCCATCACTTTAAATCAATGCTGAAGGGCGGCGTTTGCCCGGACCTTCACCCTCCAAGTGGAGGGAGCTGCAAGGCCCACGTGACGCCGCCGTTCCCGGTCTGGGTGTCCCTCAGGGCGGAGGGAGGTTGCCGAGCCAGCCCCCATTTCCGCCTGCCCCTGCAAGGCCCCCCGAGAAGGAAAGAGCCAGGGCCCTCCTTAGGTCACAGGAGGGCAGTGCCGGAGGATGGGGTTCCCCGAGGCCTGGTGGCACCCGTGTCCTACCCCAGGGGCGGTGTGGCTGACTCTCCTGAGCACCCCAGGGCTTTCTGGTTTGCTCCCAAATCCCTAGGCCCAACCTGTCTGCCTGAAACCCACACGCAGACACACACACCAATGGTCCCAGCTCGGCAGGCTCGGCCTGGTTCCCGCCACCTGCCTTCAGGGCACAGCACCCGGGGCTCGCGGGGCACCTGCCACAGGGGCCTGCCGGGCACACAGAGGCCAGGTTGGCTGCCCGCACATCTCAGGGCCGGGCCCCTCGATGCATGCACTGTGGGTCCCCAGACACCGTCTCCTTCCAGACCGTCCACTCCAGGGTGCCAATGGCCACTGGCCTCATCATCCCATCCTCAGGCCTTCAGGTCGCTGGTCCTTCCCGCCTCCTGCCCTCCACGCACTGCTTTGCGCTAGGCTGGCATCTGCTAAACACCGCTTCCTCTGGGTCCTGCCATGGATCCCTCCCCACTCGAGAGCCACCGGTGGTGCCACCCTGGACCCTCAGCAGGACGGGCCCCCTGCCCGTGGCGCTCACCCCACCCCTCCTCACGACCTGCCCGATACAACCTTCCTCACGAAGACCCTTCTCGTGGGGGCGGAACGGGTCACATGGGCCCTGTTCCGTCCCTGCGGGCAGGCGCCGTGTGCGCCGTGGGGCACAGCCCTGCGCTGGACGCCAGGGACAGAGGACACAGAGCCCGGGGCTTCCACACACAGGACTTTATTGGGGCCGTCACAGGCCGAACCAGTCGGGCACGCCACCGCGCCGGGGGTCCCGGCTCTGCCTCTGCCTCTGCTCCTCCAGGAGCTTGTCCTGGATGTCGTTGTCACCGGGGCTGCTGTGCTTTTTCTCAGGAAACAGATCGGGGAACGTGAAGGTCTGTCCGTGGGCCTGCGGAGGGGATAAGCACTCGGGCTCAGAGCCGCGGCTCTGGACGCCGTGCCGGCCCCGGGAGCCTCCAGGCAGGGGGACAGCCTGACAGGACCCTCCTGCCCCAAGCCCCTGGGACAGACACGCGGCCAGCACGTCCAGGGTGCTGTCCCCGCCTGGAACGCAAACACGTCGGCCTGCCACTGGCTTTTATCTAACAGCGGGAAGCCATGACTCCGGACAATGCCCCTTTTCATCGGCATTATCTCTTTATGGAGTGGTGTCTGCAGTGGCTGGAGCCTCATTAAAAGCAGCCCAGCAAAGCGCCCATTCACGGGCGCGGGGGCAGCCCGGTCGGACCGGGGGGCAGGAGCGAGGCACAGGAAAACACGGCACAAATAACGTCTGGTGCCGCGCTGGAACTTTTTCCATCCAAAATACCTACAGGCCTTTACCCACATTAAAGACTACCCCTCCTCCTGGCTCGGAGCTTGGCAAATAAAACGCATATAACGTACAAAGAAATGTACATATGCAGCAGTCTATAAATCAAGACCGGCTTTGCAAATTAACTGGTTTTACGTCTTTCACTAAAAGTTCAGAATGTGCCAGCGTCGGCCAAGCCCCAGCCCAGACCCCCGAGCACGTGTGCGGGGCACCGGCCCCCGTGGGCGTGGAGGAGGGGGCCCCGGCAACTGTGAGGTGCCCTTTCAGTTCGCCTCGGCTCACAGAGCAACCCCCCAAGACCAGGACGCGGGAGGGGGGTGCGCGCCAGGGCAGCGCTGTCTGTTTCCAGACGGGCAAAGAAGGATGGAGGACGGCATCCGTATCTGGAAAATTTTAATAAGTAAAATCAGTAAAGTGCGCTGGTTCTTGGAGACCCTTGTTTTGTAAAGAAATTTGGCTTTGGGCAGGCGGCCAAGTATGATCTGAAACAGCCCGCACGCCCCACCCGAGAAGGGAAGGTTTATAAATTCTGATCACATGGCGCGGAGCGCGGGCCCGAGTGAAGAAAGCAGGGCTGTGTGCGCTCAGTAGCCAGCCTGCAGCAGGATTAGCTTACACGGCTCAACGCTGCTTTTTTTTCTTTTTTAAAATACCAAAGGGCAAGAGTTTACACGCAGGGCTGATTGCCCAGAATGGGGATTTATGTTTAATATATCGAGGTGATTTTGCTAGTTTTCTGAGGTGGGGGAAACCCAAAATGACATTTTAAAATATAAATACAAAGATGCCAATTTGCAATAGCTCCGGAAAAACGGACGGGGCCGGTGAGAGAAATTCTTCACTTCTCACCAGAGACAAGAGCCACTTGTGGGCGCCCCTCTCTGGGGAACTTCACCTTGTACTTTCAAAAGTAAACCCTCAATCCCCGCCATGGCGCAGAATGAGCGGCTCAGCAGGAAAGGCCAGGAAAGGAGCAGTGTGGGAACCGGCCCCAGGCTGGCGGTCCCAGGTGCCCCCGGGGCCACCGCCTGGCCCCAGAGGGCTCCTGCCGGCCGGGCGACAGTCCACTTGCCGTGTGGGGGATGCAGACCCGCAGAGATGTGTATCAGGTTGTCGGGGGGAACGGGGGCCCCCACCCCGCCGGATGGGCTCTTCCGCAGCAGTCAACCCAAAATAGATTCGGAAACTTAATTTGTGTTCGTGATTGACCCTCTGTGTGCTTTACAATGAGCTCTGTTTTTAGAAGCCCCAGAGCGGGGCCCACAGGGACACGCTGGGAGAGGTCGGCCCCGGCAGATGGGGGCAGAGAGGGGACCCCTTCAGAGGGCAAGGGCCCGAGCTTCCTGCCGGTCTGCAGGCCAGGCAGAGGCACGCGGGACTGGGGGGCGGGAGGCCCACCATGAACGTCCCCGAATGTCACTGTGGGCCTGCAGGCGCCGTGCCCGGCGGGGCCTCTGCCCCCGGCTGTGCTGCCGGGTTTCACAGGGGGAAGAAAGACGTGCCCCGTGGCAGCTGCGTACACCAATGCACCGGACCGAAGGGGGCTGAGGCGGGGCCCGGGGAAGAATGCAAGGGCTCGGGTGACTCAGAAGCCACTTGTAACTGTCGCTGGCCCGCGGAAGGCCTGGTGGCGAATGCCCGCACAGGGGGTGTCAGCCCGCACGCGTGACAGAGACAGATGGCCCGATTTCACACACAGGACACAGGCGCCTTTATATGGCCAACGGGCGCTCCCTCCACCTGGATTGGCTGATTTTATGCACAGCAAATATTAGGCCAAATAATTACGGGGGCCCCTGTTTAGAACAACAACTGTGACTGTTTTTCAGAGAAGTTGCCACACTAACTCAGTCTCTTAACAAACTGCCTCCTCTCACCCAAAATAGGGCTGTAGGCCCCGGGGGGGGGGGGGGGGGGGGGGGGGGGGGGGGGCGGTTTTCACAATAGCGTTACTGCCATCTAGCGGCCATGGCCAGCCGCCGCCTGCCAAGGATTCAGCTGGGCTGTCCACCCCGGTATGGAAGAATCTAGAAGGCCCCCCCCCCAGCCCCAGGGGGGTTCAAACAGTAGGGGCAGCTAATGGGCCTTGCAAGCAGGGCCCTCCCTGGTGGGTTCGCACGGACATGGCAGGAGACCCTGCCATCTCCTGGAGGGCTCATCTGCAGAAGCACATCTAGGGTCCCGTCTAGAAGGGGAGAGCCTGAGCAGGGGTCTCTGAAGCTCTGGGTCTTCCTCTCTGCTGGACGGAGATGGAGCACTGGACCCTGCCCCCACGCCCCAGGCCAGGCAGAATACACGGTCAAGAGAACCTGGCGGGATGTGCCAGAGCCCCACAACTCAGTCCAGAGGGGAGGAGGCCCACCAGGACCCCAGGGCACACCGAACGGGTCCAGCTCTGAGACCCAGGCCCCTGCAGCAGCTTTACCCCCAGGCCATCAACTGCCTCCCCCTTCTCCCGGGGGCCTGTCCCTCTGAGGACATGCTCTCCAGAGGCAGGAGCTTTGTTTTCTGCCTGAGCCCAAACCCCCCGGGGCTGAGTGGGCCTGCCCGAGCCCACAGCACGTTCAAAGTCCAAGGGCCTAACACGGCTGGCCCCAGAGAAGTTCCAAAATGCCCTGCGCCGTCTCCTCCCATGGGGTGAATGTGCTTGGAGCACCAGCTCCGCCTGGGGCTTCACTGGGGATTAGGACTAAGTGCAGGCTCTGCCCCGCGTCTGCCATGGTCCTTGAGATCCTGCCTCACAGGGCCTCCCTGGGCCCCAGGAGGGGGCCGCTGCACAAACACGTCCCCCGCACCAAGGTCACGGTCGTGATAAGTCACGCCCAGGACTTGGGACTCTGCCCGAAGCCCACTCACCAGCTGCACATAGGCCACCTTGTAGTCTGGTTTCTTCATCCTGACGTTTCTGTAATCCCTCTTCCTGTTGGAACCTGTTGGGGAGGGGGAGACACACTTTACTCCAAGCACGAGATTTTTAGTCCAACTCATCCAGGAACCCACTTTCTAGAAAGAGGCAAACATGTTAAGAATTGGGTGGTCTCCTGATGACAGTGCGTCACAGCCGAATGTGACCGGCTCACAGGTCCAGGCTGTGTTTGAGGAGCCAGCGCCACCACCGTGGATCTCTGCTCTGTTAAACACCCAAACGTGTCTAAAAGAAGTCAGGAGACCCATTTCTCCCGTTTGTCAGCATAGCGACCCAACACAGAAGGCTGCCGTCCCTAACAACTCAGAGTGCAGTGGGGGGTCAGGGAACCAAGAGGAAAGTGCCCTGCTGACCCCGCTTCCGAGGCGGTCGAGGACAGAGCTTAGAGCAGAAGCGGGGTGGCCCACCTGAGCTCCAGCCCGGGCTCTGCCCTGTCAGCAGCGTGGGCCTGGGGAAGCCGCTGCAGCCCCGAGCACCTCAGCTCCCCAGCAAGAACCAGCCCCCCGCAGAGGCTGGGAGGAGGCCTTGTGAGCTCTGGGGGCGCACCCACCCCCACAGAGGGCAGCAGGGGCCTAGCACGCACCGTGCTGCACCCTTGTCCGCACGGCGGCCACAGGCACGTTGTAGATGCGCTCGAGGTAATTCCTGAGGTCCACCCTGGTCATCCTGGGGTAGAGACGAAAGAAAAGCAAGTCCCAGCCAGGTTGAGATGAAAAGCAGCCACCCGACCCCACCCGGTGCTCTCTTGTCCCCCACATACGAGTGGGGGGGCCCTAGGGGCCAGGGTCCCAGGCAGAGCTCTCTCCAGGGAAGGGCCAACATGGGGGTGCCCCCAGGCTGCCAGGAGCCCAGCCCACCAGGTGGCCACGGTGCTGGTGGGTTAGGCCCCCTCCCCTTTCCACCTGAAATGGCATCATCACCGTGGCCCTTGGCCACTCCTGCCCGGCCTCTGAAGGCTGCCACTCAAGCTCAAGCTGACCCCAGGCCCATGCACTGGGACGGTCACATCCTGAGGCGCCCTGCAGCCTGGGGGACAGTGCCCGGGGCCTCTGCGAGGGAACCACTGGAAAACTAGGTTTTTGGAAGCTGTGGTGAGAAGCTCTGAGAGCCTGGGCCCAGGCGTCTGGGAAGAGCACGGAGCTCAATGCAGTTACAGAGGCGCTGGGCCCTCCACTGGGTTTCCCCCGGGGTGGGGGGGCAGTGGGGGGAGGGGAGGGGAGGGGGAGGGCGTTGGGGGCAGCCCGGCCTCACCCCAGGCTCTGCAAACAGCAGGCCCTCGGTCAATATTTGCAGAGCAGCTCAGAGGGCTGCCTGTGGTGTTTTCACAGCGGGGAGAAGCCACACGTAGGAGCCAGGTCTGCGACACCAGCAGGGCAGCCGGCCCCCAGGGGCACTCCCCAGCCTGAATTCCTCAGGGGCTTACTCCATGGGGATCCGGAACTGCACAGTGTCCTCAGGCTGGACCGAGCCGGGCCGCACCAGCCGAATGAAGAAGTTTGTTCGGAAGACACGGAGCTGGGGGTTGCCCAGCTGGTACAGAGGGTACCTGAGAGGGGGAGATTTGTCCACATCAAACACAGAACACATGACCCCGGGGTCGCCCCCAGCAGACCTCCGTTTGTTTACCCGTTGCAACAGGAGTGGGAAGCGAAGGGGGGGGGGCAGCTCTCCACAAGCCAGCGCCCCAGGGCCCCCTCTGCTCACTGCACAGTTCTGCCCAGTGTGGGCCCCAAGACCCCCAGTGCCCATCAACTCGTGCGGGCTGTGGGCCCTTAGGAAGGGGCTATGGAGTGACTCAAGAAATAGGCCCGTAGAGAGCATAGAGAGCACACCCACCGTGGACCCCAAAGCTGCTGGTGGCCAGGCTTGGAGACCACACTTAAAGTGACGGTCCCACAGGCAGGCTGCCTGCCGTGGAGTTGCTCCCAGCCCTGGCTCACCCCGCAGCAAGGGCGGGTGTCACTTGCACACTCTCCATGTGGGTGGGAGAAGCAACCGTCACCACGACCCGTTAACCCCCACCCCCACCCTGAAAACCCCCAGGGCGAGCAGAGGCAGCTGGAAAGCAGTGAGAGGCCACCACCACCCACAGCTATTGCCAAGTGCACTTGCACTCTGGGCTTGCGAGGGCAACGCAGCCAGCCAAGGGGGGCGCCTTGGTCTGCAGAGGCTGCCGGGAGGCCAGGGGGCCGGGCCTGGGGCGGGTGGGCGCACAGGCCACGGGTCTCACCGGTAGCCTTGCTGGCCACTCTGCAGCACTGCCCGTGGCCCCTGATTTGGAGGACAACCAGCACCCTGAAAGGGGGGCTCAGGGAGGCCAAATTCTATGCTGGGCACAGGATGAGGAGGGCCAGGGGGTGAAAGGACCAGGGCGAGCCTCAGGACTGAGCAGGCACCTGGGGCATGTGGACGGTACGGGGGCTCCGGGAGGCTAGGGCACCGTAGGACTGAGTGGCCAAGTGCCATCTACCCGAGGTGGCCAGTGACCAAGTCAGGGCGTGGCAGTGGCCCAGCAGCACCCCCTGGGGCAGTCTCCACCGCAGGGTGGGCAATGGTGAGAGGCTGGAAGGGTGGCTTCTGAAGGGTGCAGGCCTCGTCCTCTCAGGGCCCCCCCCGGAACAAGAGGCCTGCCTTGTTTTACCCTCCGTTGGAGTTTGGGCCAATGGCTGGCCACCCAAGGGGCTCACTTATTCCCCCTGGTGACCAACTGCGGCACTGCACGGGGGCAGGGGCAGGCCCTCTGGGGAGCTGGGCGGGTGGGGACGCAGGGCTTCAGACCCTCCTTCTCTCCAGATCCCTGGGCTTGGGGATGGAGGAGTGCCCTCGGCTGGGGGTGGAGGGAGGCCCAGTGTGAGGGTTAGAGGTTCAGAGGCCTGAGGTGGGCAGGACACGAGTCTCCCGCGGCGTCCACGGTCTCGCAAACCCCCTGTCCTTCCCCACCCACGGGAGGGCCAGAGCAATCCCAAGGGCCGGCCCGAGCGCTGCTGCCGCCCCTCCTCCTGCTCTCCCATCGCAGGCCCGCACCACCTGTGGGCCCACCCCTCTCCCTCGGCCCGCCTGACCCTCCCGGATTTCACAAGCCCGACACTCCACACGGCTCAAGTGCAGCTCAGAATTTCTCCTGCCTGCTCCCAGCACAGCGACCTGGCAGGCTGCCACAAGCCCTACCTCCCTGCGGCCCCGAGGGTGACTCACCCGCGATCCCACCCTCCCCCTCGCCCTCACCCGCCAGCCCGCCCCGCCGGCTCTCCTCCCGAGCCTCCCCGGCCGCCGCGTGGACACGCCAACCCCGAGGCCAAGCCCGCTGCCCGCCTGCCCCCCAAGCGCGCGCACGCGCCTCGGCCCCTCTGCCCCTGCCGGAGCGCGCTCGCGCCCCCCCAACACTGGGCCCCTAGCCGCGGACCAGCCGGGCCAATGCGCATGCGTGCGTGCGAGCACTCATTCATTCAGGGGGCCGGTCGCGCTCGCCGGGGACACGAGCGCGTCAGCCTCAATCGTGGGGGGCGGGCCGCGGGGGTCCTGGCGACGCGGGTGGGGGCGACCCTCCCGGGCGGGCGCTCGACGTCCACGCCGCGTCCGTAGCCCCCTGACCGTCACCGCGCCCCCCCCCCCCCCCCCCCCCCCGCCGGCCCCCCAGGCCCGCGCCCCCGGCCACTCACAGCACATTCCGCGCCATCGCCAGCTTCCGGGCCGCGGGCGGAAGGAGGGGCACGCACGGACCGCGTGGACCCGTCACAGCGCCCCCTGGCTTCCGGGAGGGCCCGCGGCGCCCCGCCCCCGGCCCCGCCCCGGCCCCGCCCCGCGCACCTGCCCCACCGCCCCACCCCAATCACCTGTCGTCCCGTCCCGTTCACCGGTCCCGTCGCCCCGCCCACTAGGTAGCCCCGCCCACGACCCGCCCACCGTCCCGCCCATCGCATCGCCCCACCCCGCGCACGTGTCTCCCCCCACGACCCCGCCTACCGCCCCCCCCCCCGCCCCCACCCCCCCCCCGCCCCATTCACCTGACCCACGGCCCCGCCCAACGCCCCCGCCACACCCAGCGCACCTGCCCACACTGCCCTGCCCAGTGCCTCTCCCGTCGCCCCCCACCTGCACACCTACCCCACCGCCCTGCCTCCCGCCCCTGCCGGACTTACTGCACCTGTCTCATTCTGCCCCACCTTCCTGTCTCCTTGCCCCTGACCCACGTCCCTACCCCACTGCCCCTTCCCTGCCCGCTGCCCCTGCCCCACGCACCTGGCCCCTACCTGGCCTGCATATCTGAGCCGCACCCTTGACCTGCACGCCCTGTAAGAGCCCAGAATCCCTCATGCCCCTGGGTCTCTCCCAAGTCCCGCAAACCCTTCAAGTGTCCAGAACCCATCTTGCCCAGTCCCCTCACCCTGCCCAGGCACCTCACCCTGCCCACTCATTGCCCCTCACACCCGGCCAATGCCCTGCAGACCCACTTAGTCCAGCATGTCCGCCCTACACCCTTCTGTACCCCATACGTCGTGCCCTGGTGCCCACAGCAACTGTAGACCATGGCCAGCCACCCTTCCAGCTGCTGGCAGAGGTGGGAGATGGGAAAGTGGGGGAGGGGTGGGTGAGTGGCCCTCATCTGAGGCCGGTCTCTCCACTAGGCCAGGGTGGCTTCATCCCCTCCCTGATCTGGGGCTCCAAGGCCCCTCCCAGCCCTTCTGGCCAGCCCTGGGCCCCACTCCCCATCTCCTGGAACCCCTTCCTCCTACAGCTTCCCACACAACCCTCACTCGGGGGACCCCCACTCTGTAGGGCACATCTGGAACCCTCCCCCCCAACAGCATGAAGACCTTTGGGGAGGACCAGGGTGCAGCCCCGAAACCTCACTCTTGACTGGTTTCCTGTGCTCCATGGCTTCTGGCCATTCCTCAATCCCTTTAGCTGCCTCCCCCTGCCCCCCCCCCCGCCCCTAGACTGGCCTGTTCTCTCTGACCAACAGCAACTTCAATGCTCTTCAAAGCCAAGAGGGCATGACGTGGGTCAGGCAATCTGCAGGGAGAGGAGGGACCCCCAGGAATCAGGGGAAGTGTCTCATCTCTAGGGTGGAGGTGGATCATGGGGAAGGCTGCAGGGAGGCTGGAGCTGATGGCTGCCTCAGGCTGAGAAGAGGAGGGACTGGGTTATAGAGTGGTGCTGGAGTGCATAAGTGGGTTCACCTAGGATGGAGGTACTAAAGATGAGGAGTGGGCAGTAGGGACGAGTTAGCTGAGACAGCGGGGCTCAGCCTGCCTGCTGGGGGAGGCACGGAGAAGGGAGAAAGGCAGGGCCCCAGGCCCTGTGGGGGAAGAAGTCAGTGGGGAGGAGGCACACTGGGTGGCAGGGAGAGGGATGCAGTGGGAGCATGGGGGTCCCTGGGGCCAGGAGGCTTCTATTTAGGAAGCGCTGACTCTGGCCATATTTGAACTCCAAGGCATGATGTTGCATGGGAAGGGTCTGCGGAGGTGTGGCTGGACGCTGGGCTCCGAGTTGTGTGTGGCTCATGGGGGAAGGCAGTCAGTGGACTCTGTATCGGTTGAGGGGAGCTACTGCTCCAAGGAGAGGGGGTCCCATCTGAACAGGGAGCTGAGGTCCTCAAGGAGGTTGCGGGCAGGAATGGGGTCTCCATGGTGCAGACCCCTCGACTCTTAGTCCCCACCTCTCTGATTCTCTGCCAACGGGGTTCCTCCCCAGCAGCCTGGGATTTCTGAGCAGAGCTGGTCTCAGAGCTGGGGGCACCTGCGTGCACCTTCTCTCTTCCTCCTTCTCTGGTCTCATCAGATCCACCCCATCACCAACAGCATGGCTTCCCTGGGCTAGGGTTGCCAGATAAAATGGAGGATGCTCCACTAAATTTGAAGCTCTGATAACTTTTTTTTGTTTGTTTTTAATTGTTTTTTAATAGACATTATTTTTAGAGCAATTTCAGGTTTACAGAAAAATTGCGCAGAGAGTACCAAGAAATTCTTGTATCCCCACCAGTTGTCCCTATTGTTTTGTTGTTGTTGTTGTTGTTGTTTAAAGATTTTATTCATTTATTTGACAGAGAGAGAGACAGTGAGAGAGGGAACACAAGCAGGGGGAGTGGGAGAAGGAGAAGCAGGCTCCCCACGGAGCAGGGAGCCTGATGTGGAGCTCGATCCCAGGACCCTGGGATCATGACCTGAGCTGAAGGCAGACGCTTAACGACTGAGCCACCCAGGCGCCCATTGTCCCTATTGTTAACAGCCTGCACTAGCTGGTACCTTTGTTACAATTGATGGACCAACACTGATACATTATTACTAACTGAAGTCTCCTGTTGACCTTAGGATTCACTCTTGATGTTAGGACGTTCTGTGGGTTTAGACAAACGTATAAGGACATATATCCACCATTGTCATTATGGGGTCATGCAGAGTAGTTTCATGGCCCCAATCCCTTGTGTCCCTCCTGCTCCTCCCCCCAACCCCTGGCAACCACTCACCTCTTTGCTCTCACCATCATTTTGCCTTTTCCAGAATGTCACATTGTTGGAATCCCACAGGGTCTTGCGTTTTCAGATTGGCTCCTTTCACTCAGTAAGATCCAGTTAAGCCTCCTCCATGTCTTTTCATGGCTTGATAGCTTGTGTCTTTTTAGTATTGTTAATATTCCCTTGTGTGGATGGATTACGGTTCATCCATCCACCTACTGAAGGGCATCTTTGCTCCTTCCAAGTTCTGCCAATTATGAGTAAAGCTGCTACAAACATCTGTGTGCAGGTTTTTGTGCAGACATGAGTTTTCAGCTCCTTTGGGTACACACTAAGGAGCACCACTGCTAGATTGTATGGTAAGAGTGTTTAGTTTTGCAAGAAAATGCCAAACTGTCTTCCAGAGGGGCTGCCCCATTCTGCGTTCCCGCTGCTCCTCATCCCTACCAGCATTTCGTGTTGTCAGTGTTCTGGATGTTGGCCATTCTGAGAGGCATGCAGGAACATACCACTTTTATCTTTGCGTGCATTTTCATTGGCTGACGTCTGACACCCCCACCTGGGCCCCCCCTTCAGGGTCTGGTGCTGGGGAAGCCCTGGGAGTGATGTGAGCTGGCCTGGGGGAGGAGGAGCCCCCAGTGGGCAGACAAGGAGTGGGCCCAGGCAGGAACCATCCTGTGAGGGCAGCTTACATGCTGAGCTTCCCAGGCCAGGTTGGGGAGCTGGGGCTCCTTTCAGAGAGCGGCGGGAGACTCTGGGCTAGAGGGGACGGACAAGGTGAGCTTGGAGGTGACTTCAGGCTGCAGACCAAGAGGGTAAGAGGCAGGAGAGAGGACATGTGTGCACTCACTTATTCACTCATTTTACCCATATTTGCTGGGAACCTACTATGTGTCCAGTGTCCTTCTAGGGGTTGAGTCCACAGCATTAGAGCATACAACATTAAACCGATAAATTTACTGCCTCCATGGTTCACGTCCCCCACGTGAGAAAAATGGCACCCAAGTAAACCAGCGAGATACATCAGATGCTCTTGGAGATGCATGTAGGGAAGGGTAGCAGGAGGTGGGAAGGGACAGCACGTGCAAAGGCCTGGTGGCACGTGTAAGCCCATGGCCCTTAGAGGCTCCTTGTCACCTGAGTGAAGGGCAACCTTAATCCTCTGCCACCCCGTCTTCACGGAAGGGCTCCCCCCCCCGCCGAGGGCAGGAACAGTGGGCAAGGATGGGGTTGAGAAGGCTTCTGGAGGGAGAGGGTCCCAGCTCCCCAGAAGCGGGGTTCTGGGCAGGCAGATGCCCACAGACCAGCCCTAGGTAACCCTGGGGAGCAGGGGGCCTGGTGGGGAAAGAGGAGAGGAGGACCTGGAGGGGCAGGGGTGACTGAGACATCCCCCTGCCCCGTCTGTATATACAGCTGAGTCTGAACTGCTTTGTAGGAGTAAGCACAGTGGTCACCTGGCTACCTGGTTTGACTTTAGTCTGCACTGGGCTCCAAAGGCCAGAACGGTGGGCCTGCCATGGAGACAGGCACGAGGTGACACGGTGACACAGGTAGAGGCTTGCTTGCTTCTCGAAATCCTGCCTCCTCAATTGAAACCCATGAGAGACCATAGCAAACAAAACATTCTGGAAGGGGACAGGGCATCTCCCTCCCCTCCCAATGCCAATCGCAAATCCAGGTTGTCACCTGTGCCTTTGAGTGGTGGGCTATAGGTTGGAGGTTCCCACAAGCCCCTCCTTGGGTGCTATTACTAGATCATCAGTTCATTATAAAACCCATGATCGGAACAGCTTCACAGGGTGAGGTGTGGGGGAGGCCGTGGAACCTCCAGCTCTCTGAGGGCACCACCGTCCCCGAATCTCCACAGATTCGCCAGCCCGGAAGCTCTCCGAGCCCCTTCCCTGGGGGTTTGTTTTATGGAGGCTTCATAACATGGGCGATCAGGGGGCAGGACTGAAAATCCCAACCCTCCTCCCCTGGCACCCAGCCCCCAACCTTAGGCCCTCCCACAAGTCCCCTCGTGAGCATACACCCAGCTGTGGGGGAGAGGGGCTGGTTAAGCAGAACAAGACACCCGCTTCACCTTCGTGGCTCTGAGGGGAGTTCCGGAACTGCGGACAAGAGACGAACGGTGGTAACAAAAGATGCTCCAGTCATCCGTAGGAATTCCAAATGTTTTGGAGCTGAACTGCAAGCCAGAACCAAATATCTATGAGAAATATACTTGGGTCATCTGAACGACCAAATATCTATTTGC